GCCTTACTATGCCCATTGTGTATCCTCAGAAAATGATAGAAACCTCCTATCTCATGAACCGGCCTACACATTTAATGTAGTTGACAACGTCACAGTTTATTGCTAAAGAATCAGTTAGCTCACTTGGACCAGTTGAATGTTCCAAAATAACATTCACTCCAGGGATACAAAATTAGGATGCGCAGAAGACTGCTGTTTAAATATAGTAGGCGGCTGTCATATAATGTATTGGTTATGATTTGATTTTGTATGCGCCAGGGATACAAATCCGAGTTGCGCAGTGTATAAACTGGAACATTGAGATCAAAAGTGCCGACGCAGAGTGAGCGAACTGATTCTTTAACTATAAACTGTGACAACGTCGCCAAGAGGTGCTTCTCTTATATCGGCCGGTGTTAGATTAGATTAGATTTAATTAGGACTATGGGCCATGTGGCCTCCCCCACCTCGACCTTTTCAGATCTATTGTGGATATCCTTTAATCATTGTTTAGAGTACCTTGTCTAATGCGGTCTTTTGTAGTAGACTCCATAGACTGGGAAGTAGTTCTCCGGTATAGCTAGTTGCCCTTGGTTTTTCTTCTCCAAGTGTAAGGAATCTCAGTCTTACTAGACCTTCGCAGTAGCACAATACGTGTTTTGCCGTTTCCTCTTCTTCTTGACAGAATCGGCACAAGGCCTCTTCTGTCAGACCGATATTGAACATATGTTTGTTAAGCCTACAATGCTCTGTTAATAGACCTACTAGTATTCTAGTATTTTTCCTATTAAGGCTTAGTAGATGCTCGGTGAGTTTAGACGATGGTCCTTTTAAGAACTTTTTGGCCTGTCTCTGTCCTGGTTTTTCCACCACTACTGAGATTTTTTAAACATCCACTGCTTTGTGCATGTTCTGATAGTTGTTTTTGTTACACCACAGAAGGGTTCTGGGCCAATAAGAGTATTTGATGCTCCTTCTCGGGCTAGTAAATCAGCCTCTTCATTGCCTTTGTGTCCCCTGTGGCCTGGTACCCAGGCTAAGGTTAGTCTGTTTTGACTACCCAGCTCTGATAGGGCTTCCAAACAGTCCCACACAAGCTTTGAGTGTACCTGCATGGAACTGAGTGATTTTAACGTCGCTTGACTGTCTGAGTATATGACAATTGTTTTTCCATTTACCTTCTTTTGCGCAGTGATGTATTGCTGCTATTTCTGCCTAGAATACTGTCGCATGTTTACCTAAGCTCAGTGAGATTCCTGTCTTTGGCTTGGTACTATATATACCTACTCCTGAACCTTAATGGGTTTTGGAGCCGTCTGTATACCAGGTGAGATCTGCATGAATAGGAGGTCCTCCCGTCCACGCTTCCCTGTCTGGTATACCTACTTTATATTGCTTTTGAAAGCTATACTTTGGAAGCATTTCGTCTGAAGGCATTCCCATTATTTGGTCGTTCTCCAACTCTTTATATAGCTCGCTGTAGTCGCGTCCATGCAAACTGCTTATGGGCGATGAACCTTTGTGCAGTCTGTATGTGACAGACCTGGCTTCGCCTTGAATGAATATATGTAGTGGTGTTAGGTTTAGCATGACTTCTATAGCTGCTGTTGGAGTCGTTCTCATAGCTCCCGTGGTACTCAGGCATGCTTGCCTTTGAATACCATTGAGCTGTCGAATGGCTCCAGCTTGCCTAGTCTTTAGCCACCATACCACCGACCCGTAGGTTATCATCGGCCTTATGACTCTGGTATATAACCACAGGGACATTTTTGGTTGTAATCCCCAATTTTTTCCACACAACCTTCGACATAAGTTGAAGGACGTTGTGCTCTTTTGGGTGACTTTTTGCAAGTGTTGATTCCATGTTAACCTGTGGCCAAAGATGACTCCCAAGTATTTGGCCTCTTGAGCGAATGGAATCTTCACTCCTTTCAGTACTGGTGACTTTAGTCCTGTTAGTACTTTTCGTTTTGTAAAATCGGCCGGTGTTAGCCAATTCGCTGAAAACAAATCGTCTAATAAATGAGAGCGACTGGTAATACTAGAGGATATGTTCAATGGTTTCATCTTTTTGTTTGCACCCCCTGCAGGGTGCGAATTCTGACAGTCCCATGATATGGAGATGCTTCCGTACTTGGCATTGACTAGTCAGAATGCCTGTGATCAGACGCAGATTCTGTCCAATCATAGTCAAGTATTTGTTTGTTGTAGTGTTGTCAGGATAACTTAAAATCTCCCTGGAAACTCAGCAGATTCTTGTTTCATCCCATCTTTTCTTCAATTTCACAAGAGAATATTCTTTATTTAGGTCTGTCGCTACCGATGTTGTCGGTCCAATAGAAGGGCCAGGTCCAAAAAGTATTTGGTTGGCCGCCATCTTGGCTAGTGAATCAGCAATAAGGCTACCTTTCATTGTGGAGTCACCTTTGCTCCATCTTGGATGGATACCCTTGCCACAGCTTCGAAACAATCTAGTACTAACTGAGAAAATTCGTAATCTGTTCAGGGTAAGTAGTGCTTTTCTGCTATCTGTATGGATGAGTATGTTTCTATCAGCGATTTATTTTACTGCTATGAGAACCTCCGTGAGCTCCGTGAAATACATTGGCACTATTGCGCAGTTTATGTTGAGGTTTAAGGAATTGGAGTATATTCCACACCATGAGCATTGTTTTGTTTTAGAACCGTCTGTGTAGATATGTATCATACCTGCCACTTCCGGCTCTTCTATTTGTTCTGTTATAACTTCATATAGCTTATGGAAGATATAACTCGGTGAGATAAGGTTCATGTTCGCTTGAAGCAGTTGGAGCGTATCGAGCGCCTTTTGCCAAAAACGATTCACCTCACTCGCCTCACCAGATCGTACGTCAGATTCTATTCCAACCGTGCATAGGCGTGCCATTGTCATCAGAGCAACCTCCTTGATGTAAATATCACGGGGAGTGAGACTAAGAACGACTTCCAAGGCTCTGGTTGGTGTGGTTTTCATAGTTCCTGTTATGTTGAGACATGCTGTTATTCGAATTTGTTCTATTTTGCGGATAGCTGTCAATTTTTGGATTTTCGGTACCCCAGACAACTGCACCGTATGTTAGCATAGGTCGTATGATTGCCATGTAAGTCCATGTGACGACTCTGGGAATGAAACCCCAGGTACGCCCCACGGTTTGGTGGTATTGATCATAAGTATTGTATGCTCTTTTGACTATGTTTTCTAATTGTGAGTTCCATGTTATTTTGTTGTCAAAGGGGTTACCTAGATACTTCACCTCTGTTGGAAAGTTTTGTTTTGTGTTTAGGAGATCTGTAGGTTTCAATTTCATTTTCATCATTTCCTTGTCAAAAGGATTATTTCTGTCTTCTTGGGATTGATAGACAGTGAATGGTCCTTGCACCACTGTTCCATAATTGTTCCCAAAATTCCCTATTTGCAAAATGAACTTGCAATATTGTGTAGTGACTGTTTTCTACAGTACTTATTTCGTTATTAAATTAATTTATTTGACATAATGAACATAGTAAGATTTTTCTGTCATTGTTACTTTAGTATGTGTTCAATTCTTATGAACCAAACGACAAAAACTGATTAATTTTTATACGTTTCCAAGTGTATTAAGTTCCCTTGCTTTGGTACAAACGAAAACTCATTCAGTTTCGCTTCTTGGGTAGGTATTCTTTGTCTATAGTAACATAGTAACAGTGGCGGCTCGTCGGCTCGTCCATCAACAAGCAAACTTAACAATTCTATTTTATTTAATAAAAGTAAAACTTACTACTTCTTTAAAAATATTTTTATCTTCTGAGTAGAATTTTACTTCTATTAACGTCTCATGTTTCTCACCTCTATTAGTTACAATAATAATTGTGTTGACATCATCTCGAATTTGCAGCATAATAATTTGTTTTTAATAAAGCCATTTTCTTACATAGGTACATCATTTGACAATACGTTTAAGAGAAAGAGATTCTTTTAATGTAAATAGAAAATATAAAGTTTAAAACATAAATGTTAGGTTATATTAGTTTAAAACAAACGATTTGCTTCTTAATTTTTGTAATTTTAAATAAATTTATGTTAATTATACTTATTTTCTTATCAGATAACAAATTATCTATGGCTCTTCGTACTCTTAACCTCTTTCTTCTTTTTTTTTTTTTCGAGTTTGGCCTGAATGGTATTTTACGTTTGTATCTTGTCAGCTTGGTAGCGAAGAGGAGAAGAAATAATTGATTTATTTTAATTAAAACCTAGTTATAAATATATTATACTAGAAGAATTGTAATAATTTATTTTAAGTTTGTCATTTTTATACTGTCCAATATGGACATTTTTTGCACATCCACTGGAGTACTGAATGGGTATACCCATTGAAATAACGGAAAATAGATGTCCAGTGGACATCCATATGAAGTTCATGGACATCGAAGACATTATTTGGACAAAATATGGACGTCCAATGGATATCGTGTGCTGTCTGGTAAACTACAATAATTCAATATACTTTATTATTTATACATTCATTTGGGCATTTTTGTTTATTTAAACATTAAGTTATACATTTCATTTCAAAAAATTATTTTACATGTAATTTATTGTCTACAAATGTTCATATCTTTTACAATTTATAATCGATATTAAATTCATTTATTTAATTCAATTTAATCAAGGTATTTATTTAATTTTAAAATTACTTAGTTGATATTTAAATAATATTAGTTTATTGACTATATGTATTTTATTTTCACCGGTATTTAATAAAAATAAAATATATAGTGATCCACAAAAAAATGTTTCTAAATCAAGACATGATCAACATAGATAAATACGAGTCATCTCCTTGATAATAAGACACGACTCTGAATTAAATTTAAACTGACACTATAAAAGAAGAATTATGCGCTCCGATATATGTGAACTTTTCCAAGGCCGACTTTAGAAAAAAATGTGTAGATCACTCCTTAATAATAAACTAGTAACACTTTCATTGTTTAATTAAAAATTCTAAGTTAATTGACAGTTATTTTTTACTGCCTAACAAAATTTGTATTTCTTCAAAACTTCTTCCCTTAGTTTCTGGTACAAATATTTTTAAAAATATAACAGCCAAAATTGAGACTATTCCACAAACACAAAACATGACATCTATTCCAAAGATGTTTAAAACAAAAGGAATTGCTGCTGTATACAAAAAAGCCGAACCCATAGAAAACATAAAAGTTATACTGAGACACACCGATTTAACATTCGGTGAATACAATTCTCCAGTAAGAATAATAGGAATAATACCCATCCCTAAACAAAAAAATACGAAGAACATACTCAATGTTACTAATGGTAACCAAAACATGGAATCAATATTATATTCTCGGATTTTTAGAAAAAAGTAAATACTTAATGAAAACATTGACACAGAACAACCTACCGCAGATATGTACATTAGTATTTTTCGCCCCAACTTATCAACAAGCGAGCCGCAAAGAATACCAGAGAATGTTTGTAAAACACCAACAGTCATAGTTACAGCGTAATAAGGTATTGTATCATCGGTAGCTTCAATAACTGTTTGTAAATATACTGCCAGAAAACTATATCCCATAAAAATTTGACATAAAATTAAAGTACAACAAATAATTAAGGCACGTTTAGTTGAAGAGGAAGTTACAATATCTTTAAAAATATTCTGATTTTCTACTCTCTCATGAGATAATAAATTATAAACATTTTCCATTTCGTTTTTAACGTCTGAATTACCCCGAAATTTCTTCAAACACTTTTCAGCCCTTTCATTTTTTTGAATTTGCATATACCGGTAAGGACTCTCAGGCACAAATGGTACAAATGTAATTAGAAATATTACCATAATGCTCAATCCAATGTAAGCCATAGTTTGAATGCTCAATAGAGGTCCGATGCCATAATTCATCAAATTCGATAAACAAATTGTTGTACCTGTTAAAGAAGATAGAATTCCTCTATTGTGATCTTGTGATATTTCAGCCACATAGCTGGGAATCAAACCCATACTAAAAATTGCTGAAATTCCTGTTAAAAACCTAGCTATATAGAATAGAACAATGCTCTTGGAATGTGCTATGATAATATATCCGATGATAAATGGAACTGATGCAATTATTAAGGATTTTTTGCTACCGAATTTTTTGGAAAAAAGTCCAGATAATAATGTCCCCACTACCGATCCAAGTAATTGTAACGAGAGTATCCATGACTCTTCCAAATTGGTTATAGGTCTTCTCAATGGATTTATATCAGTGTTGTTACTATGAAGTATCGGTAACGATGGTGATGACCAAGTGTATGCATTACACGTACAAAAGGTGTATAAATTAACTGAAACAAAAAAAAAAAACTAATATTAATTGTGCTTTACTTGTACTTGCGTCAATATAAATAGAACTATTAAAAAGAAAACTCAAGTCTTAACCACAATATTAGTTTTATTCAGAGGCGACTGGTTTCGGTCAAATGGCCATCATTAAGTCTGTTAAGGTTTTATGTATTTCGTTCATGTTGGGGACCTCGCTCTGCTCGTCCAACATTTATTCATTCGTTACCTAAAGTCAGGTATTTCGTAACTGGTTACATTACGTATTAATTTTAAAGAATATTCCTAGACAAGTCAATGATTTCACGTAGTTTAGATACCAAAAGTTAAAGTAATTTTTTCGAGTAGGGGAAGTGGGGGCAGATTGATAATGATTCCACGTAGTTTAGATACCAAAAGTCAAAATAATTTTTTTGAGTAGGGGGAGTGGGGGCACATTGATAAATTTTTTTTTAAATCACAAATTTTATAGTTTAGGAGCCCACTACAAAATGTTGGGTCGATCACTAGTATGCAAAAAGCAATGGGTGGAGGGTGGCACATATTTTCAATTGTTAATAATTTTTTATAACATAAAACGCAAACGATATTGGGGCGGCTGCCGACGGATTACTATTGTACAACATATTACCCGACGTTTTCATGAAAATTTAGCCATACTAGTGATCGACCCAACATTTTGCAGTGGGCTCCTAAACTATTAAGTCAGGAAATGCAGAAACTATCAGTTGTTCGTTTTGCTTAGAGACATATTATTATATTTTCGCATTTTGTGGAAATGCTTGATGTAACTAATAGAACGAAAATATTACATCACATATTTTTGAAATTTAATTTCGTATCAGTGTACCCCATGAAAGGGGTACATTAATACAGACCTGAGGTAGTTTGATATATAAGGTTTTTTAAAAAAACATTAGCGATTTTTCACTTCAAACATTTATTTATAACCTAACTTAAGTTATAACGAGTTGCAGAGCTTACAAGTTGTAGTTAGAGAGGTTAATTTTAAAATAAAAAATAATATTGGTAATGTGCACTGACCCTAGTCTTTCACATCAGGAATAACGAACGTACCTAATGGTTTTTTTCTCAGGTATGAAACTTGTAATTCATCTCCATCAAACCTATGAAGAATTTTCCCAACCTACTGCTTGACACTTTTTCTGTTTTGAAATTTGATCAAAACGAAATCTACTTCTATTAAATCTGCCGGCTGTAACTGAATAGGTCTTCGCCTCATTTTCAGATTTGTCAAGGCACAATCCTAGCAACTTTTTTGCTGCATTAAGCTCTTTCGCACGCTGTATCTGATATTTTATAATTTTTTTGCTCCTTCATATTTGCCAATTTTAGAAGCCTCTCTTTTTCTGGCGTCTCCGTGTGAATTCTCGACTTTCCCCTTTCTCTTCCCTTTCTTTTCAAAACGTGTAATTTTTGGCAATGGCCTAGCTAATTCAGGTGTTACATAAGGAGTTTTCGAATTTGACGGTAATGGTTCAGCAGGTTCAGGTTCCATATCGGCCTCAACATTAGCTATATTATCGTTGATTATTGGAGACGGTGTTGAATGAATCGGTGCCAGTTGTTCCAAAGCTTGGTTTTCGTCTAACTTTTCTAGTTCCCTGGCGTTACTAGCGGATGTAGAAGGCTCTTGAAAATCTATATTTTATATGGTTTCAGATCGATTTTCGCTAACATAAATGCCGCAAGGAGCAAAATCCTCTTCTGCGAAGGCTAATTTGTTAATAGGCCAAATACCGGGTTTTCAGAAGGCACTGTAACAACCAACTAGCCTAAAGACCATTTATAACTACTGATAGGTCTTTAGCTACTGTTGTTAATATACTATTAAGGGATTAGAGCAGCGCCGTCACCAGCCAAAGGGTCCTGGAGTCCAGAAGGAACATCCATTCACCAACGGCAAATAAAAAATAATAAAAAAAATTAAATTAAAAGAATAAAAATTATCCCTTAATAGCATAGTCGAGCGGTTCTTGGCAACTAGTTTTAGACTCCTTTAGTCCTAAGGGAATAGAAGCGCCGAGGCTTCTCAAATGCTCGGAGTATTTTACTGGTTTGGAAAGGGAGGAGAGATTAATAATAGGTATTAAAACATTAACAAATGTGTATTAACAATAAGTATAAAATTTTACTAATAGTCCATTTAGGGAATAAAGCACTATAACTACATAATAATATAAAAATATGGATAAGACAAATATGATAATTAGGGACGAAAATGTAAAATTGGCATTTATATGTAAATTAATCAATTATTATTAAACAAAACACTTTAAAATATTTACCCATAATTTAGAAATCGTACACAAAACTTTACTCTATACATCACATTGTTTTGGGACTAAAAAAGTCCAAAAAAAAACGAGAGCTTTCACCTCTTGGGCGAAAGTTCTGGATCTTAGTCCGAACTCGACTGAGAGTTTACCCAAGAGTCCCTTCTTTCTGTCTCCTCTCTATATAAACCAAAATTTACGTGATGGTTGTATTTTTTAAAAATGTCACGCTCAATATAACCATTGACTAGATTAATAACCTAATTGTTTATTTTATTTTCATACGTGTCTTCCTTTTTAATTTTTAATTTAAAACAATAAAATACTTATTTAGAATTTTTGATAAATTCTTTAGATTTTCAAATGATAATGCCAATTATTACAGCACTTGTTATATTTTACGCAGTGAATGACTCGAAGTAGGCAATTTTAGCTAGGGCAGAAATATCATATATCGATAAAGCCTTTCCAGGATGGTTTATATGCCAGTCATTAAATGCTATTTTCAGCTTTGCTTTAAACGGGCCAAAAACACCCACGTACAAGGGCTGCATCTTGTGAGATGGTTATGAAGGGAAAGAGAGATATACTATTCTATTCTCACGTGAATAATTAATTGCTTTAATCAAAATATGAGATGAGATTCATCTTTAGTGCTATTCATGTGCCGCTGAATATGTTTCAACACCTCCAAAAAAAGCTTAGATTTTATCCAACCAGTTCTCGACGCTAAACCCAAACATCCTTCCGGTGCTCCTGATAAGAAGTGACTCCTGTAGTGTACTCTAGGAAATACAAAAATGGGTGGAATCGAATTTTGTATAGAGGGTTATTAAATCTCCAAATGTCACCAATTCGCCTCTTTCAGCAAATACTATTTGGCCGACTTGTCTTTGAACTTTTGCTACTAGATCTTTGAGTGTAAACAGTAGTAATACCTGTCTCATCAAAGTTTACTATTCGGTCTGGAGTGAAATTATATCTTTTGAAAAGTATTTCTAGATTCCTGTAGAACTCCGACACAGCAGTCCTATTGAAAGAAAATGACCTGGCAGCACAATATATCCCCTGTAGTAATGTAACTGGGATTCAAGAAATGGCTTTGAGTTACGCTGCGGTCAGACACAGGTCTCATGGTGCTAGTATCGTTATTGATTTTTGACTTCGGCACGTTCATTGGTTGACGACGAATTCAAAACAATCTGATCGGAGCGTTACTCACTCCCACTCCTTCTCTTTGTTTAGATACTTATAAAAGAAAGAGATACCAGTTAATAATTTCTATTTCGAATCATCTTTCATTCTTTAGCGTTGAGTTTTTATAAGTGAAGCGTGAAGTGTCAGTGTTGACAAGTGATAATTTTTTGATTTTTTCTTCTACGAAATTTAATATTAATTTTGTTTCAGCGATATTTATTGTGATTTGTGTTGTTGTATTAAGTGCTTTCTTATTTAATATGGGAAACAAAACGTACAACAAACTCAGAGAAAGAAGAATCGAGGAGGGATTGCTATCTATGGCTGTCATCCAAGGGTCTGCGCCCTAGATAATACTTTTCCAGTGGGAAAAGCCTTTAAAATTCAAGTATAACAATTTTATGTTTCCGTTTTCCCTTCTTTTAATGTAGGTGCCAATTTTGAGGTAAGTTTGTAATAATTTTTCAGTTAATACCTACCCTCTTAATATTATAATTTAACTATGATCTTATGCTTTCCTATGGACACGATTCAAGGAGGGAGTCCTATGGCTTTCATCCAAGCCCTAGATAATAGTTTTCCAGTGGCAACAGCCTTTAAAATTCAAGTATAATAATTTACTTTTTTCGAAGTAGATGTCCATTTAAACTAAATTTTTTTATTTCACTTATTGATTTTAGCATTTATATACAGTATCGGCTAATGAACACTTTCCAATACGCTTGGCTAGAATCGAAAATAAAACTAAAGAGTTAGCGCATTAGTTCGATCAGGAAACGAATAATATGAATGTTGCCTTGTGTGCTGTGTAATATGAACAGGCACACGGTGTGATGCATCCCCACGTAGCCGGCTGGCTACGTTCATAGTATTCTATTCCTTCTCCCACTAATGCTAACTCTTTGTAGTTTTTACTTGGACATTAGCAAAACGTATTGTACAACATTCGATAGCTGCCACTGTATTATCACAAACATCTCTTAATAACTAAATGATTTCATTTAATAGTTTCTTTTTTTTTTTTCAGTAAAATGGATATGGCTAGAGTTATCTTCGTCTTTAAAATATATTAAATAAGTTTTATAATTTTTCAAATAAAATACTTTATACAATTTTTTGTTTTTTTACCAGAGCCAATTTTTTTTCAGATCTAACCTCTATAGGTAAAAAATAAGTGATTTAGGTAAAATTGAAAAGTATATTACATGTTCTTTAAAATGTGTTGTTAATCCAAATGCTGCTCTTATTGTAATAGCTAATAATAAAAGAATTAGTATTATTTTTAGCTATCAAAATAAAAATAGCGCCTGGATTTACAGCTCGTTTAATCGAACATGCAATATACTTCTCAATAATTATTGCCGAATGAATATATTTAAAAATTCCCGCCATTCCGCGGCTGAAAATTTACAATTTTGGCGGGAAATTTAAATTTCGCCTTAAATTATATTTGAATTTACCGCCATATCGAGTTAGTTGAGCGGCCAGACACAGACGCATTCTTGCGCTGC